CGCGCCAGTGCCGAGCAAACATTAGTTAATGTACAAATTGGTAGACGACCAAATGTAGCATGTGGGTATGTAACTTGACACCCGAGCTGTAGCCGCGCGCGCCGCCTCGCTACAACTACAAGCGAGTCGCTCTCAGTTATGCGAGCACTACTACATTAGGTAGGCAGCGGCTTGGCTCTGCCCCTGGAATTGCTGAAGTCCATGGGCGACGATAACCACTCACTATCAGGTGCTCGTCTGCCTACAAGGGCAATAAAAAAAAACCTGTATGTAATCTTTCAGTTATTCTCTTGGTATGAATCTCAAGGTTGGCTGAGGGTCCCCAGACATGCCTGGTGACGTTGGGTGTCTCTGTTCACTATATTATTCCATGCGGAGTTAGTTACGTGTGGCGCTCATGAGGATGATGTTGACATCCGATTTCTACAAGCGCACTACTCGACACAAACCCAGACTTCAGTGTCAGTGCAAATTCAGCGGTTTTCGTTTCGCGTGTATTGTAAGGTTTTACCGCTGATATACAATACAATGAAAACTTCTACAAGATGGGCGCGGCGTTATCACGTATTTTAGAATACCATCAATAATTACGCAAATAACAAAAAATTAAGGTTTCATTTTCATCACGCGTTACCATTTCTTTGTAATATTGATCCTTTTGATTCGTAATTACTTATTCACGCGCACGTGCTAAGTTGAATGTGATAAGAAGAATTGAGATAACTTTAAATTCAAAGATGGGCACAGTCAGATCACTCGTATCGAGTACACTGGGCGCCTTATCCTTTAGGCCGCGATGACCTCAAAGTTTAAAAAGCCTTTTAAATAATAAAGTTAAAAATTATTGTTCCCTAAAATATCATAAGAAAACAAAGCAGCTAAGCTACGTATTAGTTGAGCAAGGGCATGTCTGGTGCGGCCGCCGCTCGGAGGCGCCGCCGCGACGCTGCTCACCCTCCGCAAATACCGACGACGGAAATATGACACGAAACGACAATAATAATCCTATTTGCATACGATTCCCAGCCTTCAAATTCAACACATAAGGTTTATTTTATTTCGAGGCTCGAATTCGTACGTACGGTTTAAGTTTTAACGTGAGAGCTGTTTGTTTCTTGTAAGATGTAGAGCGCGTAGTATTAGAGCTGGCTTTGATCTCCATTTCGCGATATAAACACATCTGATGTACGAACTTTCGCGACCCTGTGCTTCAAGAAAGCTTTTACATTACTCAGAAGACGTAACAACAACAAACATTGATTGTAGCATAGATATTGTCTGACTAATGGAGAGCGCCTGCAATCAAAAGTTTCAATATACAGTGAAGAGCTTTTCTTTTGCTTCACATAAAAAACAATAAATCACATAAAGAAGGATCTACACCAAAAGAGTAGGAAAACTGACAGCCCCCCCCCCTCACTGCTGCACTCTTTTGTGTTCCTACCGCGAAACACAAAGCGTACCGAACAGGGTTTCTGGACTTGTGAAAAAGCAGCATTGAAGTATGGTATGAATTGAACTTCTTCAAGCCCTCGCGGTTATCTACATAACAGGACCCGATACATCAGCGCTGATCCAAATCCTCGTGATTATTCATGACGATGGTGAAGAAGAAACCACGTATGACAGTTATTTTTAATCGTTTTATTTAATTACGACGAATACCAATTCAAATGAAATCAAATAAAAAATCAAAAATTTCTCACACCCTGAGCGTAGTGAACAGTGATGATGGGTAGACTGGAAAATGCTAGTAGGATGTTATCGACAGAAATATCTGTTGAACCACCTTCTAGCCTGTTTTTAACTGTGTTTATTATTGACAGTCTGAATGCAGCTTTGACAACGTATTCAACATTGATACGATCGCACAAAGGACATCAATAGGGTCTCTCTCCGCCGTGAACAAATGCTATGATTGTAACTTCTAGAAATATGTATTTTTTCTTGTACACACATGCCCCGAATCGAACTTACCAATTCGGGCCGATTCGCTTGATACGAGAAGATCAGATTAACCGATATAATACAAACAGTTTTTCTTACACATAACCTTGTGGTACCGCCGACGACTGCCGGACAAGCATCCCGTGGAGTTACGTTATTTATATCTAACAGTATATCTTTTTTTACTAAAGGCCTCACTTTGCCTTCCGTTACCTGCTCCGATTCTTGAAACAGGAATTATTCTTCATATTGCATTAAACTGTATATACAGGCAAACGTGTATTAGTTTCCATAAGCATTATCAATACACAGCATATCATTAAAACGTGATAGAGAAACATAAGTGGTGATGAATTATTAAGCATGTCCTTTGTCCGTAGGGCGGCGCGTCCCTCGCGAACAACACTCTACGGTTTGTTAACGAAACGACACGCTTGTGCTCAGCATCGGCTGCAGTGCGCACATACACGCGCGTGTACGATGATATCATGTCCTATCGCATCTCATACTCACGTGTGACAGCTTTATGAGTTGTGCCCGTAGCCCATCGGTATTGTACCCGGCTGTCTGATTTTATAAAGTAATCGGAATTTCGAAGCTAAGCACGTTCCAAACTATGCATTACCATAGTAACGAAGTTCTCGAAATTTGTAGCCTTTTTTGTTACATTAAAAGGCAGCGTGATAAGCGATTATAGTTTAGTTGAAAAGCGGATTTTCCACGAAAAATATTTTCGTGTCTGCTACAAATAGAAGCGATTTCTCATTCGATCCGTGATATAATTCTTACTCTTTCTCGTATCGTTCGACTTCTGCATAATAAATTTGCTATTGTTATTAGATTAAAAAATATGGTCTGGCCCAAAGCGTGACTGAACTTTACATTATAAATGTTCGTACTTTGATTGTACAATAGGCAAAGGGAGTAAATCAATGTAATTTATATTTGGTCACCCGGTGACTATTCTACTGCTCGAGATGGAACCCATTATCACGCGTTATGTAGCAGGGGAGGCCAGACTGCAATTCCGACGTACGTACCCATAACACGCCGCATCATATACTAACCTCAAAGATAGAATAGGTAATGCTTAGCAGCGTCGTCGATAACATGCCAATGTCCATGAATATTGTACGAAAATTGAATCCCGTTGAGTTTGGTACGTCATAAAACGTGGAGCTGTGAACACGGCGGCTGGCTGTAGGGGAAATAGCCAATATTCAGCGCCGTGTCACGACTAGGTTCCATTTGGCCGACACTGGGCGCTGTCACAAACTTCAGATACATGGCAGATAACCGGATTTGTTTCAACATATTGACCGCCGTGTGCCGCGCGTGAGGATTCTCTGATAGATGAACTACATTAATATTCTGTTGTCTTTATGTGGCCCAGACAAAATGAGTTCACGCTTTACCTGGACTGAACCAGTACTGGAGACCACAGAAAACATCGAGTAAAGGCCGCCTCCCACCTTGAGGCATTAGGAAGACATCAGCCTAATGATTGCGAATTGTATAAAAATTTATTAAGTCTTTATTGTATGTTTTAATATTTTAAAATTATGTGTAATTAAAATATTTATTAAATCGTAATTACAACACGCACATATTTGATTTTAAACTATTCATGTATTGTAACTAGCTATTTAAAGTTTGTTTATGTTTATGTTTATGCTCGCCCACCTGCCCTAATAAAACTGGAAAGGCCTCCGGGCCACCAGTAATCCCTCAAACATAAAAAAAAACTATTGCTAACCATGACACTACAGAGTAAATGTAGTATTACATCTACGACTCGTAACAACTATTATACACTTGGTTGTTCTGCATTCAGTTCAAGATTGCTTGTAGAGAACCAATCGGATCAATAATATTTCTTAGTTCATTGTTTATGGCTTAATAAAATGTCCGATATCGCTCACAATAGGCCAAAATAAATAATACTATAGATGAAATTTTTGAACCCCGAGGATTCAGTTATTTTTAATAACCAAAGAATACTGTCCCGTGTATTGAAGTGTAAGGGCACTTACTACTGTATGGCCCGCTGCCAAACCACTCGCCTGTGCTCGATGCCACGATTATTTCACTTAGTTTTGTTTTTATCGGCAGGTTTAAGTAAAAGCTTTGTTGCAAAAAGTAAACAAATAATATAGTTTAAGTATTTCTCTAACACAAAACAACATATCTCTTTGAAACAAGACCCCTGGTTGTAAATGAGTTGTTCCGGTCACACGACCAGTGATGAACCGATATAAAAAACACATTATTAAGAGAGATTACCTTCAGCACAACAACGATGAAGAACTCGTAACGACGGACGATACAGGAGCGAGGCCTCATTAAGGCAATTCACTTACACAAAGTGCCACAAAACGGCGTAGTGTTCTTTGTAGCGAGCCGCGCAACGAAATATTATGTCATAAAGTGGGGAGTTAAACGAAATGGTCCAGCCTCAGGCGAACCCCCGCGCATACAACTCAATGATCATTACGCTGTTTGTTGGAGCCGGACGCGCTTCCGTCGCGGTGCTGGGTCTACACACTGAGGCTACGCGGATGACCTGTGCGCAGCTTCTCTAAGCTCACGTGGGTGGCGAGCCCACGCGCTGCAGTTCGGCCTGGTCTGGCGCATAATCATGATGATTGATGACGCTCTGGTTCGCTATAATAAAACACCGAACTTGGTGCTCGAAGACATCGAGCCGCATTTGCTTACGACATCAATAGGTCGTGTGGATTTCGAATCTGTAAATTAAACTCAATTGAAATGAATACATAATCAAACGAACGAATCGCTCTATGTTTTTGGGAGTTACTTTAATGATTCTTGTGCAGACAACTTGACGTCACACAACTTATTCGAAACATAATTCAAATCACATGATTATCGTACGAAGTTGATACGGGATGTTCATTATACGAAGATTACTAAATTACAAAAACAAATAACACGGACACGGAACATCACAATACAGCTACTCAACCTCGACCACCCACCGGTCGTCTTACACCTCGAAACTTGATTTTCATACAATTGCAATTTGTTTACAGTACCGTCAGCCAGGATCCTAGGTGGACCAGACCTGCACGTGGACATTGGCTCCACAATCAACCTCACCTGCCTCATCCAGTTCAGCCCGGAGCCCCCTGCCTACATATTCTGGTACCATGAGGACGAGGTGAGCGGAAACAAAGTAATTATACAACACATCTTACTACCTTATTAGTATAGTTTTTATGTTTAAATTAGCATGCAACTGTTTAGCTTTTAAGTACTTGTGATGACGAGATGTGCTATGTCATGTGCTGTAATCACGGTCCGGTCGTGCACTGGCAGGGTCTAACGCGCGCTCTCCGGCAACATAAAGCCTATGCTTGGCAAAGTGGATGAGATACTCAATTACATTTAGCCATCTCGTACCACACTAAATATAACATATTATTGTTGTGCAGTGAAAAGTATTTTGATAAGGATCAAGGATCGACGCAATTAATAATCTTCAATAACGTTAGGATCTAAAAGTGGCAATAAGAGTTACGACTCAGCGCTATCCGATCCTCCAGGGTGTTACAGGAATGAAAGACCTTTGACTTGAACTAGACGCAGTATTCCTTAGGACTGTACCATCAATATAAATTGTTTTTTAGTTCATTTTGTCAATAGCTTGTATACAGCAGCAGCTAGTTCAGCACAAGTAATGAAGAGAGCCCGCACTTAACAAACAAAACATGTCAATCGCACGTATTTGTAGTTTATATCAACACATTAGCATACAAGTGAATTTGTAATATTATACATTTATTTTATTCTTTATTTGTACACACTGTTAATATAATACAGTAATTGCGATAAGATATAAAAAATGGCGAGCTTAACTCAACAATTGAGTTATCTACCAGCTAACCGTTCTCAAAGAAGGAAAGCTTTACATGAGTGGGTAGATGAGTACAATCTAATTAATTTATTTAAACATTTATTTATTATTAATTAATTTCATTACTGATTTTTGATACGCCCGCACATGTGAGTTACTCCTACAATAAAAATAATCTAACAACACGACATAAGATCTATTAATGTCCAAAAATACCGTTAGATCTACATACATTGTGGGTGCGTCAAAGAATTTTTTTATTGCCTTTCTAGGAAGACGAGCTCAGAGCCTGATGGTGAGTGGTTACCGTTGCTCATGACAGTCAGCGAAGTCACATGTCGTCACAATCGTAACAGCTGTACACTCGAAAAATATTACTCTCTTCTGCTTTAGTCGCATAAAAACAAATATACCGAAGGTTAAGTAAGGTGAAAAGTAAAGTAACTTAACAGTTGTGGCCAGCCATTCTCTATGAGCTAATTTTATTTCTTCTCTTACTTTTTGCTCTAATCCCACATTGTGTAGGATTCACGCAGCATCCTCTTATCGTGCTGAGTATTACGAGGAACAATGCGATTCAGCCATGCTTCATTTATTTGTCGGCAGAATCCAGCAATTTTTTCTCACTGAATATAAAAGTAGCGTAGGTGAGTGAGCGACTATACGACGTGGTGTAATAAACCAATAATTGTTATATTATATAGTGTAATCTGTGTTATTATTGTAAATTTTACATTTTTAGAGAGTCTGTACGATCCGCAAGACTCTGTTGAATTTTAATTGAGGTTCACAACATTTTTATGAAGTCAGCTTTTAAACCTGAGCATCACATTTATTTGCTTTGATTCGTAACAATTGCAGAAAGTATCCCAAAAGATATAAACTAAAACGATCCCAATACTACATTTAATGAATCCGTCTTTAACTTAAAACCAAGAATTTCTTGTTTGACCTTAATCGCTACTACCAACAATAACAACACCAATTAAACAACGAAAACAAACAGGGCCGGGAGAGGAAGCGTTTAGAATCAAATAAGGAAATCGAATTGATTTTTATTGGCCATTAGAGTCGTTCCCACCAGCAGCCGGCAGCGGCGGGGAGCTCGGCTTAGATTTACTGTAGGCTACTGACAACGCTCGCGATAACGCAACGCATCCTTACTTACTTACTGTGAACGGTACAAAATACTTACAGAATATTTATTGTATTAGGTACATATACGCATAAACGATTAGTTTCAATCTAATAGAACATGAAAATCCTCACTTTGATGCGTGAATTGATCTCATTGCCTTCAATGTCTCACGTGTGTCAGTGGAGGGTCAGGAATTATATGGTGTTAAGAGAAGGCATCGGCCAGTCCCAGGTAGCAGCACTGGAAAGAGATGATGGAGTATTACGTATATACATATCTGCACCAAAGCAGTCATGAACTTTGGCTTAGAGGATGAGACAAGATAGAGTAAAGGTAATGGAGACTTCGATCCTGAGTAGGTGGACTCCAGGAACTCCTTGATGCAAGGTGCAACGTGAGCTCTCTCATTTATCTATAGCTAAAAACATAGTTGCTTTCCGACAGAAAATGATTTTCTTTTTGTAGCTATTAATAACATTAATAATGAAATATGGATAACTGTTGACCTATCGTATCGACATAATTATTTGATGAAGACTTTAGCATAACTGTGATAATAGTACGTACATAATTAAAATAATTGAATCACAAAACAGAGCACAACTTGATGATCCATTCAAATATAATATGAATGAGCGAGTGCGTCGCGCGTCACCTGTGCCGCCATTCTCCTTCCCGCAACAACATCACCCTCTGAATACTAATGTACTAGTTACAAACTATTACGGAGGGCTGCACGACCCTTAACTACTTTATTGGAATGTAACCTGTACATTCTACGAGGGTCATATTGTGCGATATGGAACTCTATGTGGAAAATTAAATGGCGTTACGAACAGTACATACATACATACATACACACGTACACACATACATATGTAACAGAACCGTCGCTTTTATCAGTTGAGTTGGACAATCGAAAAGTAAGTGAGATGAAGATATGAGAACAAATTCGAGGCAATTACACGACACTCGAATACAATAAGAGGGAGGGCGGGACACAGCGCGCTGGTCGGTCCTTACTCGCGACTGAAATACTGCAAATGAGTTGCAGAGGCGCTTCGAAAACTAATACTCACTTAGTCTGGCTCCAGCTGACTTATTCAAATGTCTGTAAGTGTTCTCTGTACTCTGTCGGCTGTTTTATATCGAAAACTAGTAAGTGCTCTGAACTAAGTTTTAGCAGGAGAGCACGGAAACATAAAAATAAACAGCGATTGTAAAGATTTTACGAATCTTACAATTATTATTATAAAATACTTTTAAACAGATCGGACAGGAAAGCAGAACTGATTCTCCGCCAAGATACACTCGTTTTAGAATAAAAATCACATTCCTTAAAGGTCTGCGATATCAAAATGGATGTGTCTCAATCGAATAATCATTTAAATTCATGGTCCGTCTTGTAACATCATTATTTTGTATGTACCTCTGTGCGAGGACATTTCCCTAAAAACACTCAAACGGAGGTAAATACATTGAAAGAATGTAATTATTTTAAAATTGTCTGCATGTATTCCATTATGCAGACCATGATATTATTGTGAGGAGTATGTTCACATGTGTGTATGTGCACATATAGTATACGTATAATGATTGAAAGATATAATTATGTATGTTACTATGTTTGGCTATGGGACAGCGGCAGTGCCTGCACTATGCAGAGATTTACAATTTAAGTCTCCTTCAGTTGAAGACTCTGAAAGAAAACTTAGAAACTGTCACTAAGCGAAAACAAGTAAAGTTATTAACACATAAATATATATGTACACATTGAAATGATGATACAGATAAAATCGAAGTATCCCATTGCCCACCCGGGTAGGTATCCTTGTTCTATTTCGCCGCGTGCAGTCGTGCGTCCAATTAGCTATTCCATTCTGAGATAGCCGTCGTACAATACAAGTGAACGTCGATATCAGGTCTCAGGGTGAGTGGCGGCACATATTGTGGAGTATGTAAGCTCTTCATTCAACTGTGCGACTATCATGGGAGAACCACATTAATGACCGTGCTCTTTTAATGAAGCACATGGCCACGGTCGGGACGACTGTTTTTCTAAACATCCCCTTAACTTATCGTTTAGATCATGCGTAACTAGTTGACGACGACAAAAAAGATATGATGGGACCAAGGCTTGTGAGGAATACTGAAGAAGTCAAGTCCTGAACAACTTCGGAAATCCTTCTCCCATTAACCTTCAATTGTTATGACCATTTGTCTACTTTGCCGCTATATCCTAAGCACCTGCTATGAAGAGATAGAGCCTTGACTCTGCCTATGTATTGTCCACTAGAAGTATCAGTTCTTTTGATCAGGAAGAGAACACCTGACTTCTGCCTATGCACTAGCGAGCGGGAGGCGCGCGTTACAATCTCTTGTATCTCTTTTCTCTTTCAATATTAGCTAATGGGTGTATTCAGTTCATTTTACCATATTTTCCACTATTATAGTAGTAGTTCTTGTTAAGTAAAAATCTTTTGAAATCCTGAGGCGTGTCGATTGAATACGTCCATAGCACAATTCGGCAGTATTCAACTTCAGCGAATTACCGTATGTAGTTAAGCATATAATTTTAGTTTGAAATGACCTTGATGCATGACCTTGTGAATGTTTCGTGAAGCAGGTGATCTCGTACGACTCCTCCCGGGGCGGCGTCTCCGTGGTGACCGAGAAGGGCGCCGCCACCACCTCGTACCTGCTGGTGCAGGACGCGACGCCCGCAGACTCCGGCCGCTACTCCTGCTCGCCTTCCAACGCCGAGGTCGCTTCCGTCCGCGTCCACGTGCTCAATGGTCAGTCACAACCACTACCATTCATTATTAGGACTTCATTGCATATATTATTTAGTTCTATTCTAAGAATCATTAAAACATAGCAGAATAGGAACGGTTGAGATTAACGAATGGTCGTGTTGATGATGTGTGCAGGCGAGCGTCCGGCGGCCATGCAGACGGGCTCGGCCGGGCTGTCTAACAGCTGGAGGTGTATCGTGGCGCTACTGGCGGTGGCCGTACTCCGCGCCAAGCTACTGCACGCCCTGCTCGACAGCTGATCGTGCCCTCACGCGACCTCCGAGAGACAGCTCTAGTACGACAACGCGTTCCCCGGGGACCAACTTTACTCTAGTGTACACCGGGACACGACCTGGAGATCACTCTACAACGAGAACTCCCGGAAGACACACGTACATCAACTGACTGGAGTGAGGCTCGTTGAAGCTTTGTACCCAAGTGAGGAGTTAGGTCGACCCTTCGGGGATCTTATTGTGTTTGTGTGAGTAAAAAGACAATAAATAACTCTTGTTATATGAACGTTTTCGTCTCGTCTCAGCCGGAAACTTAGTTTCGGGTCCTAAGTTACTTAGACATAAGGTTTTTACTAAACGAAGTGAATAGCGTCGAGATGCTGTGATTGAATCTCATATTGAACGCATTACTCTTGAAGGGACGCTTCACATAGCACTTAGCGTAGCGTGTCGCTGTATTAAAACGACACCTCTGTGTGTGTGACTAAACATTCGAATCATTCTTACAACACATCCAATAAACCAATAAATAAGCCTAGACTCATTTTAGTGTCTTCAAAAACTGACAAGTTGGTTGAAACCGACCTTACTTAATAGCAAATATAATTAAATTGTTAACGTTAATTGTCTTATTTACCAATTAACCAATAGGACAACATTTATCAAGATTTCACTGTTTGAAGAACACGCATACGTTACGCAATATGTGCAGTGCCGGCCCAGTGCGGTCGTGCTAGCTCAGCAGTTAGCGTGTTCTGATCCTTCGACTACTGACTACTGTACTGTAGCCGCGACCAGGGCACTGGGTCCGATATGGGGAGAATTCAAACTATTGATTTATTTGTAAGGGGCAGAAAAAACTATAAAAAATTATTTAAGCGAAATTTCATAAAATTTTAAGAAAAAAATTATATAATAATGTGATTAAAATAATATAATTATATCGTATATGATACCTGCGGAGCGTTCGTTGCTGTTATAATTAATGACTTGTAAATAAATAGTCGTTTTAAATATTGTAAAGTTTGTTAATGTATAGGTAAGTTATAGTATTCATATTTAATTTATCATTCCTGTAATTTATAATCTATATAGTATAAAACTAATTTCAAAGTTCTGTATTTGATATAAATTGAAATTGAACAAATCAGAGTAATTCAATAATATAAACAACACAGTTTCGTTTGGATTTAAACTTTAGTAGGATGTTCAGAGTGACTACTATTCCTCAATAAGATGAGCGTCATTTGTATCCTGATGACATATTTATGAAATGCGTCAGAAAATGTATTTTTTACTTGTACTAAATAAAAATAAATCACTAAATGCAGACAAGCAGACGAAAGTGCCCATGACACTTATTTGACACATAACGTTTGCTGCAAAATGACATACAAGTCAAAAATAGATGTGTCAGGGAATCTGACAGCTTAATCTTACAAAAATGTGAGAGCTTAAATGATCATCTCACTATAATATTTACTTTGATTTAATGCTTGGGACTCGCACAATATTATAGCTTGTCTTATTTAACTTTGAATAATTTATGTAGGAAAGGAAAATGTTAATATTATTATATTAGAATATTTTCGTTTAATTTTTATCGTAAAGAATGCTTTCATCCAACCATATTATTATTATAGGGGTTGAATGTACATACGAGGCATTACATTAATAATAGCATTTGGTTTGTAAGACATCTACTAACTTGATGGCATTTTAATAATACGAAGTAAGTACGTTCTTGACCCTTACTGTTTTTGTCTTTCAATGTTCTGAGTGTACGTGTATTCGAAGTTTCGGCAACTCTTTGCGCAACCTCTAATAGTATCAGATTGTTATTGTTTTGAACGGTTCAGATTAATTTACTACTTTCTAATTATTATTTCATGAGAAAAACTTCGGCTTTATCTCTTGATCCTTCGTAGAGCTCATTAAAGTTTTAGCTCTAGTACATAGCACGCTACGCGATCCTAATGCCCCTATGCTTAAAAAAATTCAGTAACAACATCCACACACATCCATTCTCCTTATTTCTGCCACGAAGCAATTATACTGGTGCGATCTGCTATTGAGTTCGAGCCTGATTCCACGCTAACTCGAGTAGCTATGTTCGCATCACTCTTTCGACATCCGGTGGTCCACTATATGTCCGCCAGCGCTACTACAAAAAAAAAAAAACCATTACAGTGACGTACCAGGTTCTGTACCCAGTGAACCTTGAAGTACTACTCAATTTCATCATGGTCGGCTTACCATCGACCGCCGCGGGACAGAGGCCTCCTGCGAGATTCGCCGGAATGACCAGTCCTGTAAACTAGACCGCAACAGACGGTGGGCAGGGCACTGGGGCCAAGAAATTAATGAGCGACCACGCTCAGGAGGCGCAGTGGGGGCAGGACCCGCGCAAGGAGGACCAACCACCTTTTCAAGTTAGCACTTTTTTGTTTTTCAAACGTTCCCGTAACATTTTCGAAACGATTGCAGAATTAATTAAATATTTTTTAGACAGTTCAGTTATAACTTTTGGTGGCTTTATATGCAGGTGAACTTCGCATGTGAGCTCGTCTATGATCGCAGGATTGTTATGTAAGTAAATTAGGCATCATTGGAAGCGTCAGAACACCGCGCGTCGCCGTCGGGACGTAAGGGACATCAGTTAATATTGGGTTTATTAATTTAACTTTTCATAAATCACAGATATAAAGATAGATCATACTCTGAGCTCCTTAAGAAAAAAAATATTGTTATCAGAAGGTTAAAATGTTACGGCATAGAAGGAGCTACGTCCGCACAATATAATGAAATACAATTGTACGAAGTAACGGGTCAACAAACTTTGGTCGCCTTGGAGTTATATAGATATAGTGAGAAAAGATTTTCCTTCGTAATTTTTCGTTTAAAGTTCGTATTTATCGTGCTCTCAGCTTCAGTACCATGATATTATTCATTTTGACATTTGACACTACACAATAAAGTTTCATATTAATGGATATAAAAATGTCACTCGTTTAATACGATCCTTCATTGACAGTTCGAGTGTATTCCGATAAAGATCCGAGTTTTCCCGAGGGAAAGTAATTTCTCACTACATCTATACATCTGTTACGTTAAAGTTTCAATAATTCTGTTGATTCGACTCGTTAGTTCCCCTCGCGTTACAATTAATGTTAATGATGACTTCAATGTATCGGTACACGAGCGTGGACATCAATACACCGACTTCGTTTACTTCAACTGATTGTTTAATTCTGATAGAATATTAATTAGATAATAAGTTAGACATAAAAACGTTAGAATGACAGCACCGCGTTGCATGTTGTCAAAATGAAAAATAACTTCGTAATGCGAATACTCTGAATATTCAACATTACGATTACGATAATGTCACGTGCTGTGACATTATCGATAAATCAAATTATCGTAATAATGTTAAATGTCTTGTGTACGGAAACCTATTATTTGTAATCATGTAATATAATGGGACTAGATTTGCTCGTGATCCAAGGTCATCATATGTACTTCCACTACAGTTAAATTGTGTTGCATATATATATGTACGTATGTAAACACAACGTGTACATGTAAACGTCAGACAACAATTAAAAGAACAACAACTCGCGAACAATTTGTCGCTTTGATCACTCGACCTACGTACTTGCTAGTAAATTGTAAATAATAAATTCAAAACCACGTTTTGTATAGAATAATGATTGTAAATACAAATTATGAAATAATGTTTTTCAATATTGTAGTAGAGTATTGACGAAATGAAACTATATGATGCAAAGTCTATGACGAGATGTATGTGAAATATGAAATGTGTATGTATACATGAAGTGGATATGTTTGTTTTCAAATAAAATATTTAATATTAAATGTTTTTTATTATTTCTTTTGAGTGGCATCCCGGAGTAGGCCTGCATTTATTTAAGGGCCTCAACAACGATGGACGGCAAAACATGACAACGTCAGTTCACCGTTGTCCGTTCTCTAGAACAACAGAACAAGAAACATTTATACGCAGTCTGCCATTACAATTTACAACTAAAATACAAGAGTATTATAAAAAACTTAATAAACGTACACGTTTATTATTCATGTCGGTCTAGATTACTAAATAAAATAACAACTTGTACATTTTCGGATCATATATCAATTTACGTTAATCTACGGTGGTAGAGCGTCTTGTGAGTCCGCGCGGGTAGGTACCACCACCACCCTGCCTATTTCTGCCGTGAAGCAGTAATGCGTTTCGGTTTAAAGGGATTATCCCTTGTACTGAAACATACTGAGACCTTAGAACTCATATCTCAAGGTGGGTGGCGCATTTACGTTGTAAATGTTTATGGGGTCCAGTAACCACTTAACACCAGTAGGCTGTGAGCTTGCCCACCCATCTTAACAATAAAAAAAAATTTTTCAAAAATAAATTGACATTCCAGTAATGATTATTGACATTAATCTGTAGCGTGTCGCATTTCAGTTAAAATAATTCAATTCATCCGATAGGGTTCCGTGACGCAGCAAGCCGCACGCAATGTGCACTCGCGCGATTCAACTACAAACAGTATTCATTGCACTGAACACTGGACACTCGACGAGCTCGTTAGGACATTGCATCATTCACGGGGCTCACGTTAGAGACAGTAAACTAATCTTAGGCCCCGTAATCTTGATATGGACTTCAAGGAGTCAGCACTGAGTTCTGAAATTTCAATAAATTAATGGTTTAATTTTAATACGCTTTTATTTCGTTAACTAAACTAACCTAACTAAACTAAAAACTGACAAATTTGCTGTCGTCGCCTTTGAAGTCATCGTGGCCTAACGGATAAGACGTCCGGTGCATTCGTGTTGACCGATGCACCGGTGTTCGAATCTCAGGGGGGTACCAATTTTTCTAATGAAATACGTACTCAACAAAAAAAAACAAGAGTTCTAAGTCTCACTTTTAACAGTACAACGGCTGCCCCACCTCTCAAATCGAAACGCATTACTGCTTCACGGCAGAAATAGGCAGAGTGGTGGTACCTACCCGTGCAGATTCACAAGACGTCCTACCACCAGTAAATATATTTTTGAAATAATGAATCACATAGATTTAAGCAGTCATAGTCCCGTCAACGTTCAGTAAACGAGGAACAGAATCATTTGTAGAAGGATACCTTTAAATGAAGGTTATTCTGACTGTCACCAACCGCTAAGCTTTCACCGAACCCGCGGAAATTTATCAATAAATCACACAACTTTGGTTTTAGGATGCGGTCACGTCACGAGCGACAACGGACGCGTCTGGTTTAGTTACCTGAAAAAATATTAAAAGTATGTAGTATGTAATTGTTAAGTTTAGTACAAGACAACACTGATATTCTATCATTCTGTACTTCGTTCACGCGATCTGGTCATTCATTCCCTAATATTTCAATTCAAAGGCCTACATCGACAGATCGCGTTAGAGCTCGAGGCGAGCACACAGAAACAACACTGAAGGGATATTGTGCAATTCTGAACCAGAAGCGAAATGTTGCCTTAATGTAATGCCCATTAATTGTGTAGTATTGAAATAAATAATAAGTTTACCAAAAGGAATAATTTAATGTTCAACTGTCTTGCTTATTACATGGTAAGTACTATCCATTTACAAAAACATAAATATAATATGCAAAGCTTGACCCTGGCTCGTACACAGTGAGATACAGTGAGCAATTCAAGGTTCACCCGTATAATAANTAAGTTTACCAAAAGGAATAATTTAATGTTCAACTGTCTTGCTTATTACATGGTAAGTACTATCCATTTACAAAAACATAAATATAATATGCAAAGCTTGACCCTGGCTCGTACACAGTGAGATACAGTGAGCAATTCAAGGTTCACCCATATAATAAGCTATTTGACTTTACAAAAACATCATAAAACTCACCCAATGAATACACCGAACAAACACTCTAACACACAAGTCTAAAAATATAATATACTTCTTTTTTCTTATTGTCTTATAGGCAGACGAGCATACAGCCCACCTGACGGTGAGTGGTTACCGTCGCCCATGGACTTGAGCAATGCCAGGAGCAGAACCAAGCCGCTGCCCACCGCTTAAACCTGTGCTTTGTAAAGCAAAGGCGTGAAGTGCCGCTTCGCTCTATTGAAGACTCCCAGCATTTTTGACGCCATATTGGCTTTGCCCTCCAAATGATTCGGAAATTGGATATCGCTCGAAACGTCGACCCCAAGTATCCCAACACTCTTGGAAGGTTATAGGGATACTTCTTGGATTTGCGGCACCATGACAAAGGGATCCTTCTTCGCAGTGAACGCGCAAACCTGTCGCCTGCGGGCAACTATATTGTTACAAATGATGGGGAAACGTGTGAGCAGATATTTTTGGGCATCACCTAGCTCAGCGAGGTGCCTGCGACTACCTCCCTTATAGAACAGCTTTAGTCTACGCCAGACTTTTTATCACTGTAGATAAGGAGATGGGTGAGCTCGTACGTGATGCTGATTGTGCAGGCTCACAATAAGCCTCAGATGTCGTGTGTACCTCCTCGTTGTCGACAATCACCTTCACAGTTTCATCGGTCGTTACGGTACGGTCGCCAGTCAGGGCGGCCCAGGCGGTATCACTAGGGTCCCGGCATACCTCGCTGAGACTAGCGACAACCCTAGCTAACAACTCAACTTTACTTTAGCTATTGCTCTTTACATCTGCAGACCGAGCGGGCTCGCCGGCTGTATTGTAGCGAGCTCTACTTATTGAAGTGTCTATATCGGGTCGGGTATATGTGTGCCACATTCCCGCTGTCGCTTCGCTTGTGTCATTGACTGCATCCTCTATCGCTTGCTGTGGAATTGATCTCGTTACAAGTTAGAGAGGAGCGCGCATGTTCCCGGAAGCGAACCAGTTCAAATAATATCTCTTCGGCGGGTAACGTCACTACTCAATCCTTTCATTCATCTTACTGATGATGATACGCTATGCAAATATCGCATATTGTAAATCAAAGTTTATCGTCTTAAAAGATAAAAGCAGTAATGGGTTCGTGTCTGAAGGGTGGGGTAGCGGTTGTACTGTAGAAACTGGGAACTAATATCATGATCATGGTATTTACGTACGTTATTGATGTCTCTGGGTACCGGTGACCACTTAACACTAGATAAACCGCGAGCTCGTCCATTTATCTAAACAATAAAAAAAATTAACTTAAAGTTTTTAACTTTTTTTTTTTTTTTTTTTNTTCATCCAGCGAACAATCTTGCACAAGGGAAGGCCGGCAGGGAGTATTGTCTTTATTTATGATCTTACGTCGAGTTACATTCAGGCAGTATGGGCAACGCAGTGAAGCGAGTTGCGCGGGATTCAGATTCTTGGCAGATTCCACAGTAATATTCAAGCATTTATAGCAATACTCGGAAGAACAATTGTTGCATTTCAAACAATTAGACTTAGAACTTAAGTTGGATGATGTGCTTGGGCAGTGCCTTCTTTGTGTTTTTATTTATTTTTAGTTTGTTTAGTATCATGATGCTATCAATCAAATGATTGGGAACAATTGTTACCTTTAGAAGGAAGCGTCAACCACAAAACAAAATAGCAAATGCGAAACATCATACATCGTGCGTCAGTCATATTGCGTAAACTCGAATTCCGACCTCTGAACGAACGAACGAACGAACGAACGAACAACACAGAAACAATGCCGGCACTGAATGGAGTTTGCAAAAATTATAAATAATTAAATCTGCACATAAACCGCGGTAGAACACATTGTGACACCGACCTCTATACAATATACTCGTATACATACATATGTACATATATTATACTATAATTATATATTAATACTTTTCACCTATTCCATGACTATCACCTATCCGAAGACTCTGAAAACATTCACACAATCACTCCATCAAAAGTTCAGTCCGTTTTAGATAGCATGCTGTTTAACTTTATAACTTTACAATCAGCATGTATTGGCGCGGTGGAACCCGCCGTTGTACGCACCACGCCACATCCTTGGCGAGTAATTTCAATAACTTCAAAAATTTCTAACTACAGCCTTTAGTGCCGTTTAAGAGCTTTTCCATATAGTTCTAGTAAAAGTTGTAAAAGTTTAGAAAGGGATCCGTCGAACGTGTATAGAGTCGATAGAGTCGTCTGCGTGTAAGTATCAATTTCCGAGGTGATTCGGCGTGATTGCTTTATAACTATCTTTGTTGCACGCAACTCTACGATATCGTGGAGGATATCTGCACGCTCGCTGTCCCCCGTTTAAGCTCAGCCCTCATTTAGTCTCGTTGCGACCTTCGTCATCGTTAAATAAAATACGTGTACTTTTGAATAAGTTAATAATACAATTTTTTTAAATGATAACCCTGTAAGAACCACTTACTCACCAATCATTACTACTAGGTACTTATATATCCTTACTCGACCGACACACGTAGCACCGCTGAAACCTGAGACTCTTGATAGCCGGTTTTCCTTAAGACCCCGAGTTCTTCCCTGTTGATGATGAAGATCTCGTGTCGAGTCCACATTATCGCGGCGGTGACTCCGTGATGGTCCATGCGTGACTGGTATCCATCAGTGGAATACTGTAACATCCATACGATACTCAACTCTGTTACTGTGCCGGTACAACTTATATTGTTAATGTTCAAGTTCCTAATGAGCGCTGAGAATCCTACTGACAAACTATATTATAGTAGCAATATCGTGTGCACCTAGATACATTTCCTGGAATATTCTGTTAAGGAGTAACATACATAATATTATAATAGGTCGCGATACCCGTCTGCGTTATTAAAGTCATAGTAATTTATCGAGATTTCATCCCAACGTATTCACACAGAGAATCTAGTGATCTAGATCACTTTTATTTTTTATTGTTATTTATGAATTTAAATATGACGGAGGGAACTGTAACGTCAGCGACTGGCGGTACGTCGTTTTACAAATGATGACGTCAGCGACTCATTCGATTGAGATAAAATTAAATTAAACGAAATTTGATAAGACAAAAATGAAATAATTTACCAAATAAACTGATGGAAACCTACTTGGGCCCTGAAACAATGATACTTTAAGGCAAATATTTTTTGTATGGAAACTAGAGACATCTTTTAGCGAATGCCCTCAAAACTATACGGTAAATACAGAAAAAAAAATTTTTTACAAGTCTTTATTTGTTATAGACAAATTTATTAAATTTTATCGATTTGTGGTTTCTCAAAATTTACAAAATCCTTCATTAAAAATAAAATAGAGCATAGGTAATAATATCTTACTGCCATCTACAGGAGAAATGAGAAACTAATCGAAGCAAAGCCACCTAGTGGCCAACGTCCGTAAGCATTTTGTTGAGTGCTTGAATTGCTAATCTATAACTAATTTACGTGTATTATCTGTTTGCTAAACAGCTAATAATCCACGATTATTGCACATTTGAACGCGAATAAATGACAAAGTAATAAAATAAAACAATTTTCACGACTCCTCTCCTCTCGATCTGACAAAGACGTCGCCACAACTCTCACTTGAAAAGTATTTGTAGTGTCGGGCGCTTGGCTGTGTCTGTGGGATTGACGACGTGAGGGACGACGCCGCGACGGGCTCGTCTGTTGTCATTGACTCGACTGGCAGGGGGTCGCACCGTCAACCACGAATCAACTAAACTTTTAATGAAATACATGATTGAAGGTTGGAGTGAGACGTGTTTTTATAGTTCTGTTGTTCGCGGAAGTTAGAACAATAAACATTTACATGACCTCTCTGCACTCGGCCGGTACTGCTGAACTTCTGTCGTTCAAACTATCACAATGTTAGATCGCTTTAAACGAGTGGCCTTCGAGCCGCGACAAACAGCCTCGACATTTAGCCGAGATTTGTCGCGCTGATCCATAAATATCTAAAATGATTTGTAAAATATTTCTCCGATTTTTGCTGTTTCCGATAGCTTGTGGTAGGACCTCTTGTGAGTCCGCGCGGGTAGATACCACCACCCTGCTTAATTCTGCCGTAAGGTAGCAATGAACCGTTAAACCGAAACGGGTTTGAAGGGTGGGGCAACCGTTGTATCCACATATACTGAGACCTTAGAACTTATATCTCAAGGTGGGTGGCGCATTTGCGTTGTAGATATTTATGGGTTCCAGTAACCACTTAACACCAGGTAGGCCGTGAGGTCGTCCACACACCTAAGAAAAAAAACAGCCTGAAAATTGATCATTCCATACATCAATGTAATCCGTAGAAAAGTCTATTCCTATGACCTAAGTATTGGAATTGTAACCTTCCATAATATATTTATGTACATGACAATGACAATATCTTCAACCGTCGAGAATCTTTTGAAATAAATAATTCTACAAGTATAGTTGTTAGTTGAAGCAACTGGCCTCGTCACACCGAGTCCAACCCTGGCGGGTCCCCTGCTGGTGTCGGCGTGCAGTAAGTACAAGGTCGAGCCCCGCCGCGGGATGTCGTGAGAGTGCGATCGCTTGTCGCGCCACAGCCTTACCGTATCAAGCCCGACTGTTACCCTGCACTATTATAGATATTTTAATTTCATCACTGGTGGTAGAACGTCTTGTGAGTCCGCACGGGTAGCTACCACCACCTTACCTATTTCTGCCGTGAAGCAGTAATGCGTATCGGTTTGAAGGGTGGGGTAGCCGTTGTAACTATACTGTGACCATAGACCTCATATCTCAAGGTGGTTGGCGCATTTACGTTGTGGATGTCTATGGGCTCCAGTAACCACTTAGAACCAGGTGGGCTGTGAGCTCGTCCGCCCATCTAAGCAAATGCCTCACCTATACGCTAGGGTAAAGCTGATATAGCCTCCCAAGGTTGCTTCACGGCAGATATAGGCAGGCGGTGGTACCTACCTGTGTGGACTCACAAGAGGTCCTACTATCAGTAATTACGCAAATTATAATGTTCGATTCGAACCCAGCGACCTCGTGGCTGCCTAGGGCTACGGAAACCAGCACGAGGTGCGCGTCGAACATGGGCCGCGATTCGCGGCGCCGTATCTATTATTTTAACAAAATATCATGCAATCACTCACCGGAACCGATGCCTTCGTCTTCTCACGCCGTATCACTTAGGGAGAAGGGTATGGGGCAGGAATGGATAAGGATTAGCGATGATACACAACTTTAGCGTAGACCGTCAATATACAGGTACCGTCCCGTTCCAGAAGCAAGACAAAGTGACAGATGTCAATTCGCGACGGCACCGTCAAATCGCGACCCGTGTTGCCGTGGTAAAAATTCAAAAACTAACGGATTGGTTTCGAACAGTCACCCGCCCGGACAGGTCCCCTACCTGTCCCTAATCAACTGGCAGCCGGGACAACGTTGTGACCGCTCGTTTGAGAACCGAGTCCCCGACCAGAACCTCTGCAGACCGAGGGGTCCCATCCTNACCAGGTGGATAGAAACACACTAAACGACCTGACCTAGGTCAGCAGAATGATAGTTTAAACAGAACCGAACCCTATGCCTACACTACTTCTGCTGACTAGTAACAAAATTAAGTGAGGTTAGACGTAAAAATTTTACAATTCGTGGTAATTACCGTAGATTTTACAAATCTAACCACGCTCTGCTACCAGAAATTGTTCGATTCGAACCCAGCGACCTCGTGGCTGCCTAGGGCTACGGAAACCAGCACGAGGTGCGCGTCGAACATGGGCCGCGATTCGCGGCGCCGTATCTATTATTTTAACAAAATATCATGCAATCACTCACCGGAACCGATGCCTTCGTCTTCTCACGCCGTATCACTTAGGGAGAAGGGTATGGGGCAGGAATGGATAAGGATTAGCGATGATACACAACTTTAGCGTAGACCGTCAATATACAGGTACCGTCCCGTTCCAGAAGCAAGACAAAGTGACAGATGTCAATTCGCGACGGCACCGTCAAATCGCGACCCGTGTTGCCGTGGTAAAAATTCAAAAACTAACGGATTGGTTTCGAACATATAATTTTGCGGGTTTTCATTTTTATAACACGATGTTATTTCTTCACCGAGGAAGTCAATTATGATCATATGTTAAGTACGTATTTCATTAGAAAAAATTGTACCCACCTGCGAGATTCGAACACCGTAGCATCACTAGATATGAATGCACCGGACCTCTTATCCTTTAGGCCACAACGACTTGACATGAGACCTTAGAACTTATGTCTCAAGGTAGGTGGCGCATTTATGTTGTGGATGTCTATGGGCTCCAGTAACCACTTAACACCAGGTGGGCTGTGAGCTCGTCCACCCATCTAAGCAAAAAAGAAAACCTGAAAAGTGGGATAGCCAAACATTTTAATGCTATTTGGGATTTATCAGACCGTTTGTCTCAATATGGTGTAATGTCAACAGCTGGTAGATGCTGGTAGAACATAAACAAGTTCGCATTACAATATACGGCTCGTACCGTAGAATATGTACATACCTATACATATACTCTTATATGTATATAGATGAGTGGAGCATGTATGAGAGAGGGCGGACTCTCGTTCGGATCGCTGGTAATGTCCTCAATAAACGTCGTGGAACGTGCCACAGTCGCGCCTCGATCTACTCTAACACTCGACACTTAAGAATAGTACCACATGTTTTTACTTATTCATAAAAAATGACACTTGAACTTACTGAGCCTCATTGACAACGCGACCTGCATACCTGCTCCTACGGCCTCCTTGGTTACGAGACTGAAGTCTCAATGGAATTGAAATAATAGTTAACCTACTCTTCTTCTGGCGTTAGAAATAACAATAATAAAATAATAATAGAAAGGTGGTGAAAAGAAAGCCCGTTTTTGAGCACGATAAAATAATACAGATTAAAAAGTTTTAATTTAAAAAAAATTCAAGTTGTCACTCGTCAGGCACGAGTTGTATGTGCATCTCAACATGAACAGCTATACTAATAATCTCTGACCTAAGACCTACCTGAAGAAGATCTCGTCGTCAGTACAATTCTATAAAAGTCTCATTACTGTTCTGTAGTGTATCGCGGTGCCGCCCGCCACGCCGCCTGCCACGCCGCCGACTCACCGCGCTCCTCGCTCATAATTCGCGATCGTTTTAAGGCCGCTAATAAACAGATGAAGGCGGGCGGGCGGCGGGCGCACATCCGAGACCTACACACAACTAAACCCGCGCTCTGACGCTCACACAACATGCTACCGTCTTACTTTTGTACTTCAACGTGGAATGCTTAGTTGAATTATGAAAATTATTTCATGTATTTAGACTCACCTACCACTCTTGAATCGTTCTCTTGCAAATGTTTCACATTAACGCAGTATCCCTTGCAGAACATAGGCTGGCTAAACCAGATGAACCCAATAAAGTTTGCTAGTGATAGGGACTGAATTATCTGTGTCTGACAAGTCGATCCGTACGATTTTAAATAATCAATTTGGGTATGAAACATGTTGCCGCTCGGCAAAGCCCAAAAGATCTAAATGTTCTCTCTTGACATCCTAGAACGACTAAATCCCGACCCAAGATTCATGAAACGCATTGTTACTGGTGAGTCGTGCATTTACCA